TTTCACTAAGTTTTTTTTTTTTTTTTTTTTAAGGCTCCCACTTAGCATGCAATTCAACCCCATCACTCTGTCTTAGCAGTCATCTATTCTCACAAAATCTTTAAAATTCACTTAGGTTAATATGTTTGCAACTGATCAATGTTGTTTAGTATCATGGATGATTGAAATCATAAAGAGTTCCATGAAAAATAGTCCCTTTTACCCCAACACTTAGTTCAAACTATTGCAATATGCTACTGTACAATTGAGCATCAGAAATATATAGAACTCAGTTTAGTTGTAGCAATTTTCATGGAATGATTGCTGTTTAACCTGCATTTCTGTATCTTTTGTTTCAGAACTAATTATTAAACACATTTGTTATAAAATGTAACAAAGGCACTTTCATTGTTTTCTTTCATTTGTTTGCCATATTCTTAAAAGACAATTACAGCCAATAAGAACACACATTGCCTCTTGTTTCAGCTTTTCATAAAATTGGAGCTTACATAGGGATTTATTTTTGGCCATTAATCTTTACATCTATATAATCCAAGATCTTGATCATGCTCTTTTTTCTTCAGTTAACTTTTTTGCATTTTTGAGTTTTTTCCGATAGGATCTAGATGTGGGCTATTTGCAGCGATTGAACAAGCGGGGGAGCATCTACCCCCCTCTAGCTGTTTTCAAGATATCCCACCATTCATTCATAAACTCATCATATACCAAGTTGTGTTTAAATTTTTTATTTTTGTTATATTGTTCTTTAAATACCACATTTAAAACACAAATCGTATCCCATTTATGGATAATTTAAATTATAACAGAGTACCTGTGAGGCACAAACATGTTAGAATGTTAGATCTAAAGTATCTAGCATTTAAATATTCTAATTGCAAATTATTGAGAAACAGCTCTATTTTCAAAGTCTGCCCCCCGACAAAAAAATCTAGCTCTGCCACTGAGCCTGAGTTGACAATCAAAGATATAGATTTTTACTTGTCTGACTAACCATTTCCGTGATTATTTACCAAATAATCTTAAATTCTTTTTTAATTTCGTACTGAATTTTCAGTGACTACTTTTTCACTCATTCAGGTTTTAATCTCAAATTTGTTTCTTGCAGTTCATGATTGACCAAAGAAAGGGTCTAAGAACTGTTGGAAAAAAACCCAAACCTTCACAGATTCCTCACTATTTTTAACTGCTGGTATGAGCTGCAAATCCATATATTAATCCTTCTTTGTTTTGCTGAATTTGATTGGATTCCTTATAATCAAATCCTAATCTTAGTCCAGCCTGCACCAAACATACAGCTCTACCTAAGCTTTCAGTATGAATCAAATGTAGTCATTTTTTTATGCTGAAGCAGAAAGTCCCTTTGCTGCTTTAATTCCCATGAAACAATTTGACAGCTAGTGGCTCCATCCCAAGATGCTTTCTGTACCTTTGCTGTTTACCGCATTTCAAGAAAATCTTAATCTGTTTACCTCCTTTATCAATATGCTCACTGAATGTAGTGCAAACACAAGCAAGTATCCTTTCTGTATATTTAGTTAACCCTTTAAAGCCTGGACCATGAAATAATTGATAGAAAATTCAAAAACTAATTAGGCGTAACCCGTTTTGGGATGAGAACATAAACCTGGATATTGTTTTTTAAATTAGAGTCGTCATTGAACTTCTTGACAAATTCAATTAGATCGTTTATTTGGATCAATTTTGATACATTGGGCATGTCTGTGTAATATTGTATGCTTTTTCTGTTCACTAAATGTGTGATTGTGTGAATCAGGATTTTCAAGACCAAAAATATCACACTTATGATGCAGAGGTCTCGACAGCTTATGTATCAAATATGATACACTTGGCTTAATGTCAGGCAGTAGACAATTTTAGGAGATTAAAACTCTTTATTGGGCTCTGTCCTCATTAGTAATGAAAACTGGTAGATCTGTGTTACTTGAGTGTGACTTGTCATTCCCATTTCGGAGACAAAGAGTAATTATTGCCTATGCCAGGAAATGCAGACCAACTTTTAGTAACTTTCTAAAGACTTTATCAACAAAAAACTATACATTACAAAAGATAAAATGGTATAATAAGTGTACCATATCTTTGGCAATAAACGTTTTTTCATTATTCAATTTGAATACTTCTTTTAAGGTGTGTTTATGCTGTAGCAGCAAAACCTGTATTAGTTTTAAACTTCTTTTTTTTACTCATATGGTTAGGAGTCTGTATTTATTGGTTTTATTTGTTTCAGTTATTTTTTCAGCTGTCAATAGATGTAAACAGCTCAACGTATTTCAATCCCATTACGGTAATTTATTATGTGTGAGACTATTGCTGACAAATAACATCATCTGTTGCTTTGTGTTAGGAGACAATCGGTGACCTGAGGCAACAATTGGGCCTGGAGGAAGAGAACCGGTGTGTCATAGTTCAGAGGTCAGGAGGTGGAAGGTGACAGCCAATGGTTAATTTAATGACCAAGGAAATGGGTGATATAGCTCAAAAGTTTTTGGGGTTGAACAATTAAAAGAAGGGACATTTAAAAAAATAAAAAATAAAACAGGAAACGTGGTATACTGCCTTTTTGCATGGTATCAGTGTGTGCATGTGATGTTATGTCATTCAAAATTATTAGCATATAGATGGAAATTAAAATGAGTATTTCTACCTGAGAGATATGCTTCATGTGTGAGGGTTTGATTAGCACCTTTTACCCTGTGAAAT